TATATAATTCTATAAATTTTAAAAATAATTATCCGGTTCAACAATTGACCCGATGACCCGGCGGTTGAACCGGTGACCCGGTGACCCGAAGACCTGCCCGGGTTTAAAAACTATGTTTATAACACAACTATCTTTTACTTTTCTCACCGTATTTATTTATATATAATATAGTAATACATCATAGTATTTTGAAGTAAGCCCCAATGGAATGGGATACAGGTTCAATTGGGGGTCGGTCGTGTGAAAGGTAGTGGTGGTGGTGGCGGTTATGCTTGATAGAGAAATCGGAAGTTGTAGAAGACTGTATACAGCTTTCTACTTATATTCTCTGGTGGTTGTGGCGGCCATGGAATTTGTGAATCTTTGAAAAGTGTGGATGTCGGAGAAAATCATGGTGCGAGGGGCTTGAAGAGATTGGCAAGAGTTTGCAACTTTGGAGGCTTAGTGACATTGTTTTAGTTCATTGTTGTTTGAGTTTGTTTTGTTTGAGGCGCGTTTTTATTTGTTGTAGTTTGTGTTGTGTAGTTGTTCCTTGTTTAAGCGGCTAAAGGTTCAGGAGGTTGCATCCCCGCCTTTAGCCTTGTAGTTTGTTTGTTTGGTCTCTAGACCACTCCTGGAGTGGCTCTCCCATGGTTCAATACTTGCACAAACTCAATGCCAGGTGGTTTTCCGACGTAGAGCCTCCAGTGCTCAACCTGTTGTTGCTCTTTAGATTCGTGACGTCCTAATTGACCTGAGAACTCTTCCACCGCGCCTTCGGTCTCCGCTCGACCTACCAGTTCGCCTAGTTTGGTCATGTCATTTCTCGATTCAAGTCGACACAGTACAGTATCTCATATCATCTGGTGCTCCCCACCATATCATCTGGTGCCCACCACTCTGATCGAATTAAGATAACTCGATCTAAGAGCGAATTCAGTTTTTATTGGTCTTGGTAGATTGTCTCCCCTTTCACTTTTTCAACCCCATCGTTTACTTTGCCTTTATTTTGATCAACCTATTCAACCCTTTGCCAAGTTATTCCTTTCCGAAATTCAATTTTTAAGTGCTTCTCACCTATCAAACGTGTCCACTCAAACGTCATGTTTATTTGTGTTTAGTAGTTCATGTCGTCCTAGTGCAGAGCGCCTAATCAATGTTGTGTTGATGTTGTTCGTTCAACCTCTCCTCTTTAATCTAATAATCGCAAATGATGTCTTTTCATCTTTTCCTTTTAATCTCCTCCACCCTTTTTGGTCCTGATCCAACGACTAGGGTCGATCGACCTCGCGGCGCTTCCCCTGCTCTTTGTTATAAATAAAATCCTCAAACCATTTCCAACTTTTTCACCTTTGTTAACCTTTCTTTGCAATATATCTTTTATCCACCTTCTTCTGTGAAATTTCGAGTTCTCACCGCCTATACATTGCCGTCGACCAGTGTCTCTAAAATTTCCCGGGAACAATCAGCAAATTCACGATGTAGATTAGTAAGTTTGTCTTTATTTGTTTCAATTATCTGTTTGTATGCTTGATTCTTGAAATTTTGGGGAGTGTAGACAACTAAATTTTGAGTCATTTAAATGGCGACAAGTGTTAAATTTCATGTGAAAATCAATTTAATAATTTTTTGTTATATTTGGAAAATTAATCAAAATTTAATACCTAAATTAAATAGTTAATTTTTGATTTCTTATATAATATATATTGTTGGCTAATTAAAGAATGTCACATGTCATTTTTTTGGAGACTAAAATGAATAATTAATTATTCCTAAATAATTATTAAAGAGATAAATATTTTAAATTCATGACCAGTCAAATTGAAATCTTATTTTTCAAGACTTCATCTCTTAATTATCTCTTTAAATAATTATTAAGAATATAAATATTGGAAACTATGGACCAATCAAATTGAAGTTTTTTTTTTCCAAGACTCTCTCTCTCCTAACACCTATAAATAGGGGTTCTCCCAAAGGTGAAAATCACAATTCATATTCACAATTCGAGTTACAAGTTCAAGAATTCTAGAGAATTCTCCCAATGAGATTCAAGTATTCTTGAACATACAAAGGCGTTCTTGAAGATTCAAAGGAAGATTCAAGCACGTTCAAGCTCAAACCGACGTTCAATCCATAAACAAGCTGTCAAGCCTCCGAATTACATTATTAAAGTCAAGACCGACGTAGAAAAGGTTG